GGAGATGCCCGAGCCAACGCTTGCGTCGCTGGCCCACACGCGTCGATAACTCACGCTCAGGTACCGGGAGTCCAGCTCCACCTTCTGCTCCAGCTGCGTCAGGAGCTCGTTGTGGAAGGACTTGAGCTGCGGGCAGAAAGAGGAGATGCGGTTCCTGAGCGAGGGCTGGCAAAACCCTGCCCGGGGCGCGCCGGGGCAGGGGGTCGTACAGACGGAGTGGTGGGGGACGGACAGACGCTCGGAGGGGACCCAGCAGGGCAGAAGCAGATGCCCAAGCAGACCAGACCCTCTGCAGCTCAGCAGATTTGCTTCAGAGGGGCGGGGGTCACCCGGTCAAAACACTGAAAACCGTTTTGCTCCGCCGCACGAGCAGTGGAGCCCATGGTGAGGTGGAGAGCCTGGCGTGCCCAGGCTGGGGTGCTCACCATCTCCTCCAGCTGGTTCTGGATCTGCCTGTGGACCTCTGCCATCTGGAAGAGCACATCTCCTGCAAAGACAAGACGTGGGGAGGGGACTTGAGGCACTGAGCTTGGGGGGACACCCCAGGGCTGAGGCAGGCAGCACCCCACTGGCAGGGAGGGGTCCGCAGCCAGACCCATGGGTGCTCCTGGCACACCCCCAGTGCCCATCTTTGGGGCGCAGACGTTCACCTGAGACACTTGGACAAACACGTGTGTTTTGCATAGCACAAAGGGCATCAAGGACAAGCAGGAGCGGGGACCCCAGCACTCAGGGGCAGCCCTGGCCACGACCCACGGTGCCGTCAGCTACGGCGTCGCTCTGCCCGAGCCAGCCCTTAGCCTGGCCACAGGGATGCGACGAAGGAGCCGGAGATGACGGGACCAAGGAAAGTCCCTCAGCTCGACCCGATTCACAGTCCAGGCACTGAAGGGAGCAGGCGGAGAGGAGATGCTGCACTGATAACAGAGATGGGAATTTAAACAGCGCTGTCGGAGCCAGGAGCTTCACCCGATGCTCTCCCAGCTCCAGGTACAGCCCAAAGCCAAGCCCAGAGCGCCTGCCCCCCTCTCCCCCAGCAGCAAGGCAGTGGAGAGACACAGCCCTGGGACTCGGTCCAGGTCATAGGACCAGGAGCTGCAAGCGGAGCTAAGCCCCAGGGTATTGGCCTCAAAACCTCCGGACCTGTTCAACCTCGGCGGCTGAGCCGTGCGTGGGCAGCGAGGGCAGAGCCGCGGCACGGGGCTGCTGCATCCGCCGCAGTCAGTCCTGCGGACCCACGGCCCAGGGATCCCAGCTCTGCTTTGTCTCTTCCTTCAATTTTTCTCTTCCAATGCAGAATCCGAGTCACACACCCACAGCGCTTTTCCTGGGAGGAAGGGCAGCGTCCTGCCTAAGCAAAAGCCCCGGCGCGGCGGGAGCCAGACACGCACGTGGAAGCTGTGGGAGCGTCCTTCAGGAGAGGAGCCAGGGCTACTGTTCGATTAAAAACACCATCCCTGGATCAGAGCAAGCGTTCCGGGAGAGCCGAGCCCTGCCAGCTATTTGTAAGGGCTGAGTTCGGAAGCTCTTCCTTCCAGCAGGGCCAGGTCCCAGCTTCCCAGGAGGCTTCCAGCCTATATGGAGCTGTTTGTAAACTGAGAGCCATGATCCGTGCCTCCGAGCTACTCCGGTCTCGGACTCAGCCCTGGCACGTCCTGCAGCCGGCGGTGGCTGGGAGCCCCCCGACACCCGCGGGGGCTCTCCAGAGGGAAGCAGCACCCTACAGCCCACCCCATAAAGCGGAGAGCAGTGCCTGGGATAACTCAAAGCCCCAAATGTACAGCCCATAAAAATGTACGTGGAGTTTTAAATGACAGAACTGCAACCCCGAGGATGGGAAATGCAAGGGGAAGGGGACACCAGCCCTGAAGCCCCAGGACAACGTGTGGGAGTGCAATGCTCCCGAGGCTGCTCAAGGCAGTGGCTCCTGGCAGAGATGAGCCCAAGAACCCACGAGGGAACTGGGGATGAGCCCAAGAACCCACTGGAGGTGAGCCCGAGAACCCTCTGGAGGTCTGGGGTTGAGGCACCACAGCCCTAACCCTGCCCGATGGTGGGTGCCCCTTCCCCAGCAGAGCCCCCCAGCAGCCGAGACACACAGAGCCCCAGTTTGCTTCCGCACGGGGCTGCTCGCTCCTGTCCCACTCCAGCAAGAGCCCAGCCCCGGCAGACACCGCGGTTTTGGTGCATTTAGAGAGCAAATTAAACCGCGAGTCCTCGGCAGAGGACAGGTCCCTGCTGGGCTCCAGGACAACTGCATCCCCTGTACGCAGAGTCAAACCTCGCCAGCAGTGAGGCTGGGGTGAGCCAAACCAGCATCTCACCGGTGCGAGGGAACCACCGGGACCCTCATTCAGCACAGAAAAAGTGGGCATATGCTGGGCATACACTGGGCCGCTGCCTGGCCAGCCCATCCCCAGCACAGCCGGGCCGTCCGCCAGCCAAGTGCCACCACCACCACCTGACGGGGAACAACCTGGCCCAACAGCTCTTTGCTCTTGTGGCTGAAGCAATTCGTACTTTGCACCATACACTGTGTCTCAAAACCTTGTACAAACATTAAAATCTAACCCCTTTCCGTCCTTGGCAGGCACCAGCCCCCTCCGCCGCGTGTTGATGCAGTAGCAGAACTGGCTGCGGCAACCGCCGGGCGCGTCCCCGCCGCG